GGTGGGTGGGAGGATAGTTGGGTGGGTGGATGGTGGGTGGGTAGATGATGGGCGGGTGGTCTCCACCTTAAGCTCTTTCTCTTTCATATGTATGCCTATGGTTTCTTTTATAGGTTATGACCCTGAATCTGTACCTTCAGCTGTGACACTCAAGGGTCCACAGCCTGCCCTGAGGCTCCACAACCAAACTAGCCGTCTGTTCCCCACCTTGGCATGGTCACCCCTGGCTCTCAGTTGCTCAGATCGCTGCTTGTGTCATAGACTCTTCCTCACTCACCATACGAGTCTCCTCTGTCCTGCCTCCTAGACACCCTCATTCCCATGACCTAACCAACCTCTTTCACCTGTCACTGCTTCTGCGATGCCCCCACACCCTGCCTGTCCTCCTGAGGGGCTGTCTGACCACTGTGCTCTCCAGGGCTCCTTGTGGAACTGTCCAAACTCTCTGCTGTCCAGACCCTGCATCCGCTCCAGAGTCCAGCTTTTGGTTTCCCTGAATCCACTTGATGTCTGTGTGCATCTGAGCGGTCCCCTCTGCCCAGAGCCCCCACCCCCAATATCACTGTCCTGCAGCCACCCAGGGCCCCTCACGAGTCTTGTGGCATTTTTGCTTCCGTTAAAAAAATTTAAATTACATTTTACAACTGTGTTAGTATAAAGACAAGTATAATCCGTACTTGATTTATTATTATTATATTTTTCCCTTCTGATTTTAGGGGAAATTCAAATTAAAACATTTTTGTGGTCCCTAAAAGAATCAGGGGCCCAGACTTACTACCACCCACTTATCTTCAAGACTTACAGCAGCACCCCACCTCCAGGAGGCCTCCTGGACCACCGTCCTCTCCCGTTATGCCCAGAATACTGGTACATGCTCCAGCAGCCTGTGCTGCTCATGTCCTGTGGCCTCGGTCCAGCTGAACTGAGCTCAGGGAGGGTGGGGAGCAGGGTGCAGTGGCTCAGAGGTGGGGCCCCCTTGGGGTGCCCATTTGGGCAGCCTCACCAAGAGGTGGTGCAGCAGGCCGGTCCCTACAGAGGTGAGCCGGGAGTGGCAGCAGAAGGTGGTGTTGACCTCCAGGGATGGGCAGGTGAGCCCAGCAGACAACCCCAGTTCTGGGTGGGCACAGGAGCCCAGGCCTAGGGGGGCCCAGAGCTGCCCAGGCCTCCACTGGCCTCTCTGTCCGGAGCCTGAGCCCCTCCCTCCCACTGGCCCCCAGAGTTCCCGGGCAAGTCCAGTTGCTCCCCAACCCTACAGTCGAATACAGAAAGAGGGGGGCACACATGTACACATACACGTGCACATTTCTGCACGCACGCTGGGGGCCCTGTCTTGACTACACGCCCCCTTGGGTGGCCAGCCCGGGGGGCCTGGCAGTGGCTGCTTGCTCTGGTGCCAGGTGTGGGGGTCTAGGACAGTCACAGCTCAGGTCCAGGGGCCCTGATGGCAGGAGGGGCTCAGGCCTTGGGCACCATCCAGCCCTGCACAGCACAGGGTTCCAGAGCAGAGCCCCGCTCCGTGCTCCCGCCTGCGGCACTGAGGCCGAGACTAATAGAACAGCCCCTCGCAGGGGACAGCTTTATCCTGTGCATCGGGAGTCTGCCAGCCTGACGTACGGCGGAGCACAAGCCTCCCAATGTGCGCCTGTGCGCTGTGGCATAAGGAGAAGTCCAGGAGATGAAAGGTGGGCTCGTGAGAAGAGCGCCGGCCGGCAGTGAGACTCACAGCCCGAGTCCCTGGACCCCGGGAGGCCACAGCCGGCCCCGCAGCGAGGCAGGGAGAGGGAAGGCGGGTGAGCCTGGCTGAGGGGTGCAGGCTGCGCGGGGCAGGCCGGGGCCGTCTGGGGCACTGAGGCCATGTGGGGGGCAGGAGCACAGCGGACAGAGACGGGCGCTGTGCCCAGGACGGGGGGCCCCCTCCGTCTCATGTCCTCCCCCAGGCTCTAGGCAGGCCCCTGGCTTTGAGGACGGAGGCGAGGATCGCTCCTGACCCCGACCCAGACCGTCTGAAGGGGCTGCAGGGACACACAGCTCAAGGCCTGCCCCAGCCTCCCTCTTCGTCACGCTGCAGAGCTGGGTGACAGGAGGCGGCTGCTCTCTGTCCGGCTGCGGCCTGGGTCCCCGCCTGCTGAGGCCGGCTTCCGGAGCTCAGGGCAGACCCTGACTTCGGAATTTATGCAAAGAAATGAGATGAGAAGTGCTGGCGGCCCTGATCTGATCACAGAGTCATTCATTCTCTGGTCGTGAATAATTTGTGCAATAAAGGATCACGGCTGCTCCCGCGAGGGGAGGCTGGGGCTCGGCCCTCCCCCGGCGCCGGCCGCAGGAACTGCAAACATAAATTATTAGTTTCTTATCGCTCGGGCCGCCATCGCTCATGCTGCCAGGGGCCTGGTAGGAGCTCTCGGCTGCGGCTTGTCGCGGAGACTCTGGGGGGCCCTTCATCACCCCCACCACAGCCCTTTAAGGGTGTGACCCCGAGCCTGGCCTGCAGCAGCCCTGAGGCCAACTCTGAAGCGGGATACTCTGGGGCTCCACCACCCGTCCCCGTCCCCAAGCCTCAGACCTTCTCTGTAAGCAAAGCCAAACCTCTCGGTGTCCACAAAGCAATCTCAACAACCGGCTACGGTACGTGCCCAGTAAGGGCAGCAGTTATTATCACTGACAACGTGTCTGCACCCACCACGAGGCCCACAGCCCCCTGACCAGGAGGAAGGAAAGGCAGCATCTAGTTTGGGGCATCCCTGGGTGGCACTCAGAGCTCCTGCCCCACGTGGACACATCTGCAGGATGGCGCCCCGTCTTCCTGGGAGGCGGCGAGCACGGGGCTAAGATTGTGGCAGCCCGGTGCTCCAGCTGAAGGTGGGGGGTGTCTGGGCAAGGGCGATCGGGAGCCTTTTGAGGTCTGTGCATCTGCCCTGCTGTGTTCCTGGGCTTTCCATCTGCACCCCCGCTGGAGCCGCTGAGGTTTGTGGAGGTGGGGGCTGAACCGAAGGACACAGACTCCAATGGCTCCAGCCCAGATGGCAATGAAGGCAACCACGGTGAACACAGGAGGGGCACACTCACTGTGTGGCTCCTGGTGCCCACCCCCAAACTGGGCAGGCCAAGCCCAGGCAAGGTTGGGAAATCAGGGTGAGGGGCTCCAGACTCCAGATGCCTGCACGGAGGATGTGGAAGGAATCAGGCCTGGGTGTTCACATCCGCCTCCTGCGGGCTAAAGTCTTTGGACCCCACTCTCTGACACACCTCCCAGTCTCGGCTTTCCCTTCCTGGAGGACTGGGGGCTACCGTAACCCTCCCTTGAATTTGCAAGGTGGTTAAACCCAGTGTACAGTGGCATGTAGCACAGAGGCCCAGGGTCTTGTGCCCACCACATCCTGGCCGTGTTGCCTTGGGGGGAAATTTAACCTCTCTGGACTTCAATCTGTAAAATGGGAGCGAGAATTAAACAAGACAAAACTAACATTTATTGAGTACTTACCATCTGCCAGGTGTCCCAGGTACACGTGGGGGAGAGTGGAGAGGGCCCCTCCCGCAGGGTCTGGGAGCCCAGCACCCCCTTGCAGAGACTGTCCTTGGTGCATTCACTCTGCTCCCACCTGGGCTCCGGCTCCCCGAGCATCTGGGTGCAGTGTCGACTATGCTGTGCTGTCCCATCTTCTCACCCTCTCGTCCATGTCATTTCTGGGTCAGCATCAATCAATTGATTTTTCTTCTTATTATGGGTCATATTTTCCTGCTTCCTTGCACACCTGGTGGTTTCTGATTGGGTGACAGAGATTGTAAATTTTGTTGGGTGCTATTTATGTAAATATTCACTTTGCTCTGAACCCTGGGAAGTTACCTGGAAGCTGCATGACCCTTTCAAAACTTGCTTTTAAGCTGTGCTGGGAGGACCAGAGCAGTATTTAGTCTAGGGCTGATTTTGCCCTACTTTATTGGGGTGAGGCCCTGCTTGGTACTCTGCCCCAGTGGGTTAGGGTCTTCCAGCCTGCCTGAAGGAACAGGCACGTCGCACAAGCCTTGGTGAGCTCTGGACATGGTTCCCTCAGATCCTCTTGGGTGGTTCTCTCCCTGCCTCCTGGAGCTTCCTCTCCGGCTGCTCTGGGCTCTGCTGACCTCCAGGACTTGCTCTCTGTGCCATGCCCCCTGCCCTGGCTTTCTCCCTGCACCATGGGCAGGAAACTGAGGCAGTGAGCCGAGCCATTGTAAGGCTGCCCTTGGCTGCTTCTGCCTCTTGGGGCTCCCTGTCCTTCCTTGCCTGGTGTTTCTGGCAGGAGGGTAAGTCTGGCTGCTCTGTCTTGTCTGAGTGTCTGTCCCCATGAGTGCGCTCATGATGGTGCCCCTGCTCTGGCTGTGCAGTTGGCACAAAGCACACACTTGCAAGAGTTTTCTGAGTGTGCCTGGGCTGCTCAGTGTGACCCGGACCCCTTGGCTTGTGCCACCTGCTGAACAGCAAATCCTCAGCCCCATCACCTGCCAGCCTGCCTCAGCCGTGGGCTCTTTGTAAGGGCTGGGACATCCTGAAGTTCACCCCGGGGTGGATGTCCAAGGGGGCTCCATGGTCGGCGGCCTGGGAGCCACAGCTCCTGCAGCACCCCTGGGCTGGCTGCTGGTCACTTCCTACCTCCAGGACCTCAGGCCAACCCCTCTTGCCCAGAGTAGCTGGAGGCTTCACTGTGAGGACCAGGAGGACAGGGCCACAGTGCATTGACTGCAAAAGCACAACTCACACCTGGGCAGTGCCCCTCCCTCCTGGGGAAGGACAGGATGTTGCCATCGTGAGAGATTTGATCTTGGAAAGCCCCAGGAGAGGACTCGATGGTGCTGAATGTGTTGTATTACCTGGAAGTGCACTCCGTAGACTGGGTAGCAGCCTTGGTGGTAAACACACGTGTGCCACATGAATGCACACGGGACACAGGCAGGGCTTGGAGTGGATGTCGTTTGAAACTGTTCCCCAGGCATGCTGAGGACAGGTGTTGCCAACACTGGGGAGACTGGGGGCTCTCCAGGGCTGTCGGAAGGAGCAGCCCGGGGCATGGTCCAGGAGGGGGTGGATGTCTGACCTGTGGCAGACTCAGGCCCTGGCTCCCAGCTCCACATGGACAGGCTGGATGGGAGGTCGGGTTTGAAGGGGGTGGGGCGTGAGGGCACCCTCCTCCTGGCCCTGGTCTTGAACTGGGTTTTGTTTCTTCCATCTGAGGCGCAGGTTGCACCCAAAGGCATTTGTTGAGTGGCAGGTGAAACTCTTTCCCAGAGGTTACCTGGGGAAAGGGCCCTGCTCCAAATGCCACCCACCCTCGGTACAGCCAGCACCAGGGCAGACTCTGGGAGCCCCAAATTGGAGGCCCACATGAGGGGGGCTGCTGCCTCCAGCCACCCCGGGAGCTCAGAATCCAGGGTTACCCCTGGGGGAGGCCTCCCCCCGTGCCGGGCTCTGTCCTCAAAGACAGTGACTATGGCAAGCCTAGTGCCGAAACAGCACAGATGACGCAGACCCTCTGCCCAGGGCGTCCCTTCCCAGGCCCTGTGCTGTCTCAGAGCAATCCCCTCCCCTGTGTCTCACAGCTACTCCCCTGTGAGGGTCTCAGTCCTTTCCTGAGCCTGGATTTGCTGGGCAGCCCTTCCGGGCTCCTACTGTGTCTCCACGGGCCTCACAGGAACATCTGACCT